GTCGTAGTACTCGTAGTTGTCGTGGTCGTAGTAGTAGCAGTTGCTGCAATAGTAGTAGTAGTAGTAGTAGTAGTAGTAGTAGTAGTAGTAGTAGTAGTAGAAGAAGTAGTAGTAGTAGTAGTAGTAGTAGTAGTAGTAGTCGTCGTGGTAGTAATAATCGTAGTAGTGGTCGTAGTAGTAGTAGTAGTAGTAGTAGTAGTAGTAAGTAGTAGTAGTAGTAGTAGTAGTAGTAGTATAGTGTAGTAGTAGTAGTAGTAGTAAGAGTAGTAGAGTAGTAGTAGTAGTAGTAGTAGTAGTAGTAGTAGTAGTCGTAGTAGTAGTAGTAGTAGTAGTAGTAGTAGTAGTAGTAGTACTAAAAGTAGTAGTAGTAGTAGTAGTAGTAGTAGTAGTAGTAGTAGTAGTAGTAGTAGCAGGAGTAGCAGGAGTAGCAGTAGTGGCCCAGGACGATCAACTCTCGTCCGGCAAAGTCTGTCCTGGTCCAGGGCGATGAACTCTCAGGTCTGAAGGGGGGACGCTCTATCGGGAGCACGGGGTTACCCTTGGAGGATGTCTTGTGCATGCCAACAATCATCAGAACAACGAAACCAACTTGGTACTGGTTGTGATCGATGTGACGTCCCAGGACGGCCAAATGGACCACAGCCACCACCAAAGTGCTGTCGAGGTCGGTGAGCTCTCTCCGGACGGGGCCTCCAGAAAAATCGCCTTGGTCGTGGCTGTGGTGGAGAAGCCGAAAGGTACCGATACTGGTACTCCCTGGACCTCTGCCGGCGTGTGCCCTGACAAGATTTCAGGGCGAATCCAGCCCTGGCGACGAGGTGCTCCCAGAAGGCCCAGGGGGGGGAAAACGAGGGAGGGCAAGCTTCAACTTATTTGTTGGTGCTTGTGCCTCCCTTGAGTTCTTTGCTGCGCTCGGCAGAGGGATGCGACTCCTGGTCTTGTGCAGCAGCTCCGCCTCCTCCCGCGCCTCCGGGCCCAGGTCCCCGCCGGGGCCCGGCCCGCACGGCCTCCGCCGCGCGATGGCGCGCGCGGGGGGGCCACCGCCGCCGCAGGGCGGCGGCGGCGGCGGCAACGGGCGCTTGCTGGCGCCGCGAGGTAAGACGAAGCGAGGACGTTGTCGCCGCCACTGCCGCCGCCGTGCGTCGTCGTCGCCGCCGTCGTCGTCGTCGTCCTCCTCCTCCTCCTCCTGATGGCGTCGTCCTCCTCCTCCTCGTCGTCCTCCTCCTCCTCATTGCGAGGGCCTGGCGGCACTGGCCGCCAGGCCCTCGCAATGAGACGAAGCCAGGGCTAAGAATACGAAAGGTAATCAGATGAAGAAGAAGAAACCAACAACTAAAACATGACGAAGACGAAACCAGGACGAAGAGGAATTCGAGGAAGGCGCCGTGTGCTCGGCAGGCACACGAGCAATAAAGGGCAAGCCAGCGATCGTCGGGTGCTCGGCTTCACCTCGACTGCCACTGGCCCTCTCGTTCGCACTATGACAAGAACAGGAGGAGGAGGAGGAGGAACAGGAGGAGAAGAAGGAAGAGGAGGAGGAGGCGGAGGCAGAGAAGGAGGGGGGGAAGGGGGGGGGAGGGGGAGGAGGGGGACAGGAGGAGGAGGAGGAAGAGGAGGAGGAGGAGGAGGATGAGGAGGAGGAGGGGGGGAAGAGAGGAGGAGGAAGAGGAGGAGGATGAGGAGGAGGAGAAGGCGAGGCTGAGGAGGAGGGGGGGGGGAGGGAGGGGGGGAGGCAAGCTAGGTGCGCTCGCGTCATATCTGACATCCTACCCCTCCCTCCCATCCCTTACCATGGCGCAGATCCCCTCTCTACTCGCTCAGTCGGATGTCGAGCAGGGCAATGATGGGTACGCGATGTATTGTAGAGCACGGCATGGCATGGCGTAGAAGAGCACCGCAAAGCGGAGTATCAACCTAGCGTTGCAGCGCATGCCGTGGCATGGCACGGGAAATGACGCCAACGCTGCAGCGGGAGCAGGAGTCGAAACGAGCAGAAGCGCGGAAATGAGGCCAGCGCTGCAGCGGGAGCACGATTCGGAACGAGCGGAAGCACAAATGAGGCCAGCGCTGCAGCGGGAGCACGATTCGGAACGAGCGGGGCCCGAAAATGAGGCCGGCGCCTCAGCGAGAGCAGCATTTTGAAAAAAATGCAAGCGAAAACCCAACTCCGGGGAAACCTGTGTAAAAGACAATACGCGGGGGGGGTCGGACACTCCCAGGCCGTCATCAGGGGAAGAGGGAGACTAGTATTCATATTGAGTAATTGTGGAGGGAGCGCTGTAGGCGGCGCGCCGTGTGGGGAGGTGAGAAATTGTCTAAGCCCTCCCTGAAGACGCAACAATATCGCAGAGGGCGCGAGGGCCGCTGAGAAGTCCCCGCCGCCTTCTGAGAGGGCGGCCTCCTGCTCACTTCCCCCCTCGCTCGCTGACGACTCTGGAGCGACTCATCCGAGTCCCAACACCCCGTGCAACGCAGACGTCACGACGGAAGGCTTGCGGCAAACTTCGGCCCCAAAGGCTCCCGGCGGGCCCCCGGACCGTGCGAAGACGGCCCGGGATGAGAAGGCAGTCCCTGGGAAGGGGTCGAGACGTCGGGGGACCGCGTGCTCAAAACATGAGAACGTCGCGCGCCCAGGCCCCCATCCGGGCAACTCGCGGTGCCGTGCCCCGGTCTCGCCCGAACGCGCGTGCGGACTGCCTCTGCCGCGCTGCGACGTGAAACTCGGGGCCCTTCTCCCTCGGGGGCCCTGGCGGCGGCGAGGGCGCCGACGTCGGCGCCGACGGCAGTGGCGACGGCGACGGCGACGACACGTTCGATCGACGAGGCCTCCGCCGCCGCGCCCACGACGCGCCCACGACGCGGGGGCGGAGGGGCGGGGTGTCTGTCCCTTTCTCCCCCTCCTCCCTCGACGCGCCCTCCCTCCCGTCCATCCTCCACCTCCTCCTCTCTCGCTTACCAGCGCATTGCTGTTGTAGGAGGTTGTGGAGGAGGAGGAGGAGGAGGAGGAGGAAGATGAGGAGGAGGAGGAGGATCGGCAGACGGGCCACAAGTCGGGCGTGTCTCATCATCCTGTTCCCGGCTCCCTGCTCCTCCCCCCCTTCTCCTGCTTCCTGCTCCACCCTCGTCCCTCCTCTCTGATCCTTCCTTCCTGCTCCTCCGATCTCCTTTCTGCTCCCTCACCCCTCCTCCGTTTTTCGTCCACGATCATCCTCCTCCGCCGCCCTCCCCATCCTCCTCCTCCTCCTCCTCCTCCTCCTCCTCCTCCTCCTCCTCCGCCGCCGCCGCCGCCGCCAACCTCCTCCTTCTCCTTCTCCTCCTCCTCCTCCTCCTCCTCACCCCGCCTCCCCGCCTCCCCTCCTCCTCCTCCTCCTCCTCCTTCCTCCTCCTCCCCCGCCTCCCCCGCCTCCTCCTCCTCTCCTCCGTCTCCTCCGTCTCCTCCTCCTCCTCCTCCTCCTCCTCCTCCTCCTCCCCCTCCTCCTCCTCCGCCCTTCCCCTCGTCCTCCTCCTCCCTGCTCCCTCCTCCCACTCCCCGTTCCCTGCTCCCTGTCCCCTCCACCCCCTCTCCCTGCTCCAGCTCATCCCTGCCCCCCTCGCCCGGCCCAGGCGGCGATCGACGAGGGAGGCGACGGCGGGCGACGGACGACGACGGCCGGCGAGGCCACGAGGGCGAGGAGGACGAGGAGGAGGTCGAGGACGAGAGCCTCGAGGACAAGAGCAGCGCCGCGCAGCACGACGACGGCCGACGAGGATGACGAGGACGACGACGACCGACGAGGCCGACGAGGGCGAGGCGAACGAGGAGGTCGAGGACGAGGGCGGCGCCGCGCACCACTGCGACGACGGCCGACGAGGACGAGGAGGCCAACCACGACCGAAAGGGACGACGAGGACGAGGCGATCGAGGAGGTCGAGGACGAGGGCAGCCCGCGGCCTCCCATCGACGCTCCGCGCCCCCCCCGTCGCTCAAGGAGGGCGGCCCGGGCTGGTAGCCCTGGGCAGAGCAGCCGCCAGCGGAGGCCGTCTCGAGTGGGCCAACGCGCCGCTGCGGCGCCCTCCCGGTGGGCCCGAAGCGTGTGCATCGGCGACGCCGGGATGGAGCACAGAACAGCGGCACTGCCTCCACCAGCGCGGGAAGCCAGCGAGACTCCTCGCAGTTATGTGGCCCTCCTCCCGATGCCCGACGCAAAGCCGTTCAGACGTACCCTCCTCCTCCTCCTCCTCCTCTCCTCGTCCTCCTCCTCCTCCTCTCCTCGTCCTCCTCCTCCTCCTCCGCCTCCTCCTCCTTTCCCCTGTTTCGCGGGGCCCCGCTTGGAGGCGTCGTCAGTCCTGCTCGGGCAAGTATCGTGGAACTCCTCATTAGCTGACGCTGGGGCTCGCCGGTGGGTGGTGGCCGCTTCTCCAGGCTACGTGGTATGTGAGTATATATATATATATATATATATATCGGAGGTTGGGGGGTGAGATCGCAGTGGAACGGAGACCCCCAACAGGCAAATCGTTTCGTTTCGTTCGTGTCGCGCGTGCGGGCGAGGCAAAGCTGCGTGGGCGCGCGAGAGGACTGAACCCGCCGTTGCTAGGGCAAATCAAGACAAATGATTCTCCCCCGCCCGCTCGTCCAAAGGTGGCTCCCGGTGTCCCACGGTGTCCCGTGGTGTCCCTTGGTGTCCGCCGTTGCTAGGGCGAAGTCAAATGATTCTCCCCCGCCCGCCCGTCTGTCCGTCCGTCCGGCGGTGGCTCGCGGTGTCCTGCGGTGTCACGAGGTGTCCCGTGGTGTCCCGTTGAATGAGATCGATAGTGAGATCGATAGTGAGATCGATAGTGAGATCGACGTGGTGCCACGAGGTGTCCCGCCCGTGGTGTCCCGTGGTTTTCCAAAAAATGAGATCGAACATGAGATCGATGATGAGATCGGCAGGTGTCCCGTGGTGGCCCGTGGTGTCCCGTGGCGTCCGTTGAGTGAGATCGATAATGAGATCGATAGTGAGATCGATGTGGTGCCCCGAGGTGTCCCGTGGTGTCTCATAAAGTGAGATCAGTAGTGAGATCGATAGTGAGATCGACAGGTGTCCCGTGGTGTCCCGTTGAGTGAGATCGATGGTCAGATCGATACTAAGATCGATGTGGTGCCCCGAGGCGTCCCGTGGTGTCACAAAACATGAGACCGATAGTGAGGTCAATAGTGAGACCGATAATGAGATCGAGAGGTGAACCGCGGTGTCTCGTGGTGTCCCGTTGAGTGAGATCGATAGTGAGATCGATAGTGAGATCGACAAGTGTCCCGTGGTGTCCCGTGCAGTGAGATCGATAGCGATATCGATCAAGTCAGATGTTGGTTGCCCCCCTCCCCCCCCCCCACCCACACAACCTCCTGATCACCCGAAGGGTGGTCGTATAGGTGTACATATATATAGTCAAATATCATGTCTCTGTGTGTGTCTCTGTGTCTGTCTGTCTGTCTGTCTGTCTGTGTCTGTCTCTATCTGTCTGTCTGTCTGTCTGTCTGACTGCCTGTCAATCTCTGTCTGTCTGTCTGTCTGCCTGTCTGTCCCGCGCTCTCTCCCCCTTTAGATCGTACCACATCTGCTTATATGACCCCATCTAGAGATTAAGAGAGAGAGAGATAATAATACTCTCCTAATTACACTCCCTCTCTCTTTGATGACCCTCTCTCCCTCTGCCTGCCAAGTCGGCGCCGCCTGGCCTCTCAAGGGGCCAGGAGGGCGCGGAGCTGGGAGGAACATGAGGACAAATGGGTGAAGGGCAGCTGGGCAGAACGGGGGCCTCAGCTGACAATCCGCCACTGGCAACGTGCCCTGCCGCAAGGGGCAAGTCCCTCTCCGCGCCTGGTGCTCGCGCGATCAGGCGATGCGCACCTGCGTCGCAGGTTTCCAGAAGTCGCTGCAGGCCGCTGAGTGTCCTGCGAGGTCCCCAGGAGGCTGAACGCAGGCAGGCCAAACCCTCGAGCGGGGAGGGATGACGACGAGGAAAAGAAGGAGAGCGAGCGTGAACGTCGTGATGTTCCTCTGAAAAGGTCGGTGTGTGTGTGTTTGCGTGTGCCGATATCGGCGGTGGACAAACCTCCCTTTAGTAAACCACCCTTTAGCGAAAACGGCCTAGGACCGAAACCGACGGACCTGGACCCGCACAACTCACGGCCGCGACGCCCTCTCGCGAACCGAAAACGGCCAATTCGCTAATCGACGTGTCAGGGTAGGAGGTCTGTCAACCTCCGAAGATACACGTGCGCTGCGCTGGCCTCAGCGTCTGCTCGAAGGAGAGCTGGCACCGGTTCAGCAGCACGCGCCGGAAGATCTTGCCGTCGTCCCCGCAGATCTGCGGAGGAGGGGGCGGAGAAGGAGGATGACCTCCTTCTGCTGAGATCGCGCCCTTCGACTTTGAAGGGGCCCTGGGACACACAAATAAATACACACAAATAAAAATATTCCCCATATTTTCCCATATTTCCTGGATTTTTGTCTTCCCCCCCACTTCCCATATTTTCCCATATTTTCTGGGAATCGACGATTGATTGTGTCTGTGTGTTTTTTCCCCTCCTGAGGACTTGACACGGCCACCGCCGGCGGCTCCAGGGGCCACCGCGCCCAGGAGCCGCCTGGCCCCCCAGCTTTTCATCACCTTCCCCCCCCCAGGGCCGACAGGCCCAGAGGGGGTCTGGCTGCGTCGGTGTGACTCCAGGGCCGAGAGAGAGAGAGAGAGAGACAGGGAGAAAAAGAGAAAGAGAAGAAAGAGAGAGAGAGAGAGAGAGAAAGAGATAGGAAGGGAGAAAGAGAGCAACAAAAGAGAGAGCTTGCAACCAAGCTCCCGCTGCAAGGTGCCTCTGCATCCGCAGGCGAGCCCCCTGCAGGCATGGTGCTGCAGGGAAGAACGCTCGAGATCGCACAACCTCCGCCCCCCCCCCCCCCCTTCCGGCCTCCTCCTCCTCCTCCTCCTCCTCCCGGCGAGCCCTGGGGGGGAAGTGAGCAGGAGAAGTCTTCTCAGAAGGCTCGGAAGTCCGGCGGCCTTCTGAAAAATGTCATATGCCTTCCCCGACGAAGCAACCAACTTCTCAGAAGGCCAGAACGCTTCTGAGAAGCCCCGATGCCTTCTGAGAAGGCCTCCTCCTTCTCACCTGCCCTCCCCCTCGCTGGCCGCCGAATGGTAAGTATATGCCAGAGTCTCGTCACCATCACCGAGGTCGGGATCGCCCTCCCTCCGTGGAGGCAGCTGCCGATGTCTGATGTCGGCGCCACCCTCCGGGCCTCCGACCGCTCGGCTCTCCGGCGGCCGCTCGGGGCGATCCGGGCACCCCCGGGAACGCCCTCGCCGAGGCGCGGCTGCTGGGCAAGCACCCCGAGGCGGGCAGGCCGCCGAGAACCGACGCAGACGTCCAAGAGCCTCCTCCTCGCCTCCCCCCCCCCCCCCTCGCTCGCCGCCGAGAAGTCCGCCCCGCGGAGCGCCGCACCGTTCCAGCGCGGCGCGGTGCTGGCGCCGCCCGCTGGCCCGGGCTGCCGGAGGGGGCTCGATGCATACACCGCGGCGCTCTGCATCGGCCAGGGAGCTCGGGCGCGCGGACGCCCCAGCGGCCCAACCCCCGGGGGCCTCGGCGAGAAAGGCAACGTGTGTGATGTTACGTGCAGTCGGGGCGTTGACCCAAGGAACTCTAGATAAGGATCGATGCCCCTTTTCCCCACACACTGAACTTCCATTTCCCATGGAAAACCTAAGGAACACCTAAGGGAAAGTGTGAAACAACTAAGGAACACGGAGCCCCTCCCCAACGAGAAGGGTTCCTTTTTCAGCGCCCCGACTGTACTTAGGTTTTGGCCACATGTTGGCTTCCCGGGGGGGGGGGGCCACAGTAACGAGCCCCCCTCCTTTGATCGATCTCTCCCAAGATGGCCCCCGAGTCTCCCAAGGGTGTTGGGGCCCCAAGGGGTGCCCAGGAGGCACCAAGACGCCCCCAAGAGGGCTCCATGATGCCCCCGAGATGCTCCCAATAGATCCCCAAGAGGCTCCAAGATGCCCCCCAGAGGCCCCAGGAGGTCCCCAGAAGTGCCAAGAGACCTCCAAGATGCCCCAACAAGACTCCAAGAGGCTCCCGAACGAAACTCGAAGAGACTCGGAGAGGCATCCAAAAAGGCCTCTGGACTTTCTGTTCGCCCTCCTCCTCCTCCTCCTCCTCCTCTTCCTCATCCGCATGTTCCTCCTCCTTCCTCGTCCCTCCTGTCACCCCCCCGCTCCCTATCCTCCTCCTCCTCCTCCTCCGCCTCCTCCTCCTCCTGCTCCTCCTTCGATTCCTCCTTCATCCTCCCCCTCTTGGGGCACAACGTCTGACCCCGCCCTTCATTCCCCTGCACTTTTTCCTCCACATCTCTGACCAAAGCAACTCGTCTGGGCATCGTTTCCGGATGGGCTGATGGGGTTTCGCGAAGCGTCTAGAATCTCCCCGAGGATCATCTCTCAGACCACCCTCGAGCCAACCCTCTTCCCCAGGTCCCGCGGAACCCTCCAACACAGCTCGTCACCCCCAAATCAGACCCCCTCCTCTGGAAATTATATAAAGGTCGAGCCCCTCCAAGCTGCCATCGCCGAAAGCGCGCCTTCGTCTCCACGAACCACTGGTGCAGACGAGCGCAGAGCTCCGCGTACCTGCCATGATGCCCAGAAGAGAGGGGAGAGGGAATGCGAGATATATTTGATGAGAACAAGCCGCTCGCAACTGCCATTCTGGCCGTAAGGACAATGGGATGCCTGGGCCTCGCGTTCAGCACAGCAAGAGGCCCATCGGCATCAGCATCAGCATCACCATCAGCACCACCATCATCAGCATCATCATTAGCATCATCAGTCTCAGTACCATCATCCTCATCATGATCATCAGCAGCATCATCACACTCATCATAATTATCGTCACCATCATCAGCACCATCACCACCACCACCATTATGATCATCGTGGTCACCAGCATCAGCATCAACATCGGCCCCATGACCAACAACATCACCATCATCAGCATCATCATCGGCACCAACGCCCGCATCACCACCATCGCCGTCATCATCACCGCCACCATGGTCATCCTCGTCCATCCCATCCTCATCAGCCCCATCCTCCCCATCAGAAGTATCACTCGTTTTTCCAGCCCGCTGCGTGTCAGATGGGCGGGGCACATTCCCACGAAGTGGTGCTGAGTGGTCGCCTTCTCGAAAACCTTCACACGCGGCGGGCCGCTGCACGTAAAGACGAGCTGACCCAGGCAACACTTATCATGCATACTTTTTCTCCGTCGGTAATATATATATATATATAGATACATAGACATAAACATATGCATGACACATATGTTTGTATGCCTGTTTGGCTGTATGTTTGGATTTATGTTTTATGATTGTATGTATGTATGTATGTATGTATGTATGTATGTATGTGTGTATATGTATCTGTATCTATACACACCTAATAATTTGCAACTTTTTATTACAGCAATGGTGACAATGAAGTAACAATCGATGATAACTTCGTGAATCGCCACGTGAATATGCGCTACGTGTCGTAACGGCGCTGGCTGGGATACCGCCTAGGAACAAAAATCACGTCTTCCCGCAGAACGTATGTCCTGCGAACGTGGCCGAATCTCGGGGCGGAAATTCGGGCAGTTATACGCCAGAGCAAGAGGAGGAAGAGAAGGACGAGGACGCGCGGGAAGAGGGGGAGAGAGGAGGGAAAGCGAAAAGCATCCACGGGCCCGAACTGAGGTTAGCAAAATGTCCTCCCCCTGGGCTCCCGGAGGTTCACGCAACATGCCTGCACAGCACAAATGACCACACACACACAATAAACATTGCGTTATACCCGTACCAGCTGGCCTAAACGGCCATGCTGAAAAAGGCCAGCTGGTACGGGTATAACACATATGCAAGTATCTATGTACCACGCATCCTTACATGTGACCTGATGATTAAGCGCAAGCTCCGCACCCGTCGACAAACAAGACCCCCGCAGCTCACGCCACAACTGGCACCGTGAAGTGACTCGCCTGGCCAGAAAACTCGTGAGACACGGCCTGAACGAAGAGTAGGAAGCGATCGGACGAAGCGGCAGACTGGGCAGCGCGGTTGCCAAACAACGGCTGACGCGGGCACCGAAGCAGGCACAGAAAAAACAACCCGCGCATGCGTAGACCGATAACGGCACCCACAAACTACCCGAGCCTCCGCCGGGAAAGGACCGCGGTACCGCTTTGCATGGAGTTTGTTCGGGGGCGCGCAAACATGGATTAGCGATCCATGGATTTGGCGCGCGGTCGCCAAATCCATTGATCGGGGGAGGCGCCCTCCCCAGAATGCAGCCAGCGCCGCCTCGCTTGGCGGCGGAAGCCCGCGATTTCTCCCGGAAACGGGACCCGTCGCTCATCCACGCCCCCTCGATCCATGTTTGCGATCGCCTGAGTTTGTTATCCCAAACTCCGTCTCCCCTTCGGGGGGGAGATCGCCTCCTCCTCCTCCTCCTCCTCCTCCTCTTCCTCCTCCTCCTCCTCCTCCCTCCTCCCTCCTCCCTCCTCCCTCCTCCCTCCTCCCTCCATCCTCCTCCTCCTCCCTCCTCCTCCTCCTCCTCCTCCTCCTCCTCCTCCTCCTCATCATCATCATCCTCCTCCTCCCTCCCTCTCCCTCCGCCCCCTCTCGCTGGGCCTCGACGGGCGAAGGGGGTGCGCGCGAGGCGCAGGAACGCCGCAGGGAGGCTCAGAGGATGGCTCGAGGACGGCCGCAAGACGTCCAGGATCACCGCCAGGATGCCTCCAGACCCAACATTGGCTCAATATTAGTCCCAGGCGTGCCCCCAAAAGGCTCAAACGCGCACCAAGACCAAGACGGCTGCGAGTGGCCTCCGAGCCTCCCAAGGGCGCCCCCGAGCTGCGAGGATCCTGGCGGAATCGAGGGGCCACATGTAGCGTGTGCCTTGTCGCCGCTTCGCCCCCAGTCGATTCTGGAAGCCTCAAGATGGCTCCATGATCGCCCAAGGCAGGCCCAGGATAGCTCAAAGACGGCCCTAAGAACGCTCGGGGGCGTCCCGAGATGGCTCCAAAATGCCCCCCTTTCGGCCGTCGACGGGAGGGCCGTACTCCAAATCCCTTATTATCGTCCCCTGGGTCTGGTTTTGTAAGGCACCTTTTTTGTAACTGGGGGGGGGTCCGGCTTATTGGGGCGCTTTCTTTGGATTGGAGCTTAGGGAGCCCGGTTTATCAAGGCGCCCCGTCGAAGAGGGGAGTCCGGAATAGTAGGTTGCATTTGGAGTGCGCTCTGGCTTTTTAGGGGGGGTCGATTCATCAAGGATTTGGAATAATGCGCGCCGTTTTTTTGTTTATTCGATGGCCTCCAAGATGGCCCCCAGGAGGGCCCCGAATGGCCCGCGCGCTCTGAATGCACCGCAGTGCGATGCCTGCGCCCTGGCTGCCCCGAAACAACACGAGGGTCAAGGAAGAGGCGCGCCGCTGCGTGGAGCGCAAAGGACGGCGCTGGCAAGTCTAGGCGCGAGGCGGCCGCAGAGACCCGCGCCCAGGCAGGCGACCGCTGAAGGCCAGGAACCATCAGCCAGAGCCTCTCCGCAAAGCGGAACAGGAGGAGCCTCCCCGAAAGACACGAACCGTGCGAGCGGGACCACTCACGCCACCAAGACCACCACTACTGGCTCAGCCACAGCACCACGACTGAGGTGACGAGGTACGCGGTCAGGATCAGGTCGGGCATGTCCCCCTACAGGCGGATGTTGGAGGGAAAATGCAACTCCAAAAATACCCCCAAAACGTTCAAACATTGTCAACACATCGTCCCCAGACTACTTCTGGACTATTTTGGAATATTCCTCCTGTAGAGGGACACGCCCGACTTCACGTCAGGAAGCCCACGACGCCAGAGGCCTTCGGTGGACAACCCACGCCTGCGCGGGCCAGCGAGTGCGCGCGGCTGCGGCGGGACCTCGCAGCGAGGGCTTGATTTAGGTCGGGCATGTCCCCCCTTACATGGGAGTGTGTGGGACAAACTAAACAGATTCAGAAATTGTGCCAAAATGATCTAACAATAAAAGAAAAGTCGTCCCCAGAGTATTGTCTGACTATTGTTTGAATGTTCCTCCTGTAGAGGGACAGGCCCGGCTTAGGCTTGATCCAAAATGGCCAGGCACGGACGAAAAGGTGCTCAGGACAGACCGAAGATGCAAGGAAGCAAGGGTACCCCTGGGAAGGTGACCCTTTGTGCCGTCGGTTTCGACTGCAACCTCCGCCGAAACATTGCTTCAGAAGCCTGAGGCCCGGACCGTGAGAGCGAGTGTAGAGGGCTCCTACATGGGGTCCGAGTAGATGTGGTCGTAGGATCGCGCCGCATCGCCAATGCATCGGCGATGCATCGGCAATGCATCGGCGATGCATCGCCGACATCGGCGACGTATCGAAGACATATCGGCCACGTCGGCGTGGATAAAATCGGGCTCCGCATCGAACCGCATCGCCGATGCATCGGCGATGCGGCGCGATCATCCGACCCCATCTACTCCGACCCCATCCAGGGGACCCACATATTCCTTCTTTCATGTCACCCCCTGAGGTTCCGTAGCCCACAGCATGACCAGGGCTGACGAGCCCGTGCAGGAACGAGGCGTGTTCCCACACAAGCTGGAGGGAAAGAAAAAGACACCCAGGCAGAGGGGACCGACTGCCCTAGTCTTGAAGATCCCGACCCGTGTCCTGGGTGCCGGGGCCCCTGCGGGCTCTCGGCCCGAGAGACGTCGGCCTGCTCCAACACCGCGCGCACCAGGCCGCGGCAGTGGCGGGTCGGGGGTCTGGGGGCTCCCGGGTCTCTCGTCGCGAGCCGCTCGGGGCCCGGGAGCCCCGAGCGGCACCCCGGCAGCATGCAGACGCCCTCTCGATGGACTGGACGCGGCCCTCCTGCGCTGGCCTGGCCTGCGCGCCTCCTCCTCCTCGCGCCTCCTCCTCTTCGTCCGCCTCCTCCTCCTCCTCCTCCTCCTCCTCCTCCTCCTCCTCCTCCTCCCCCCTCCTCCCTCCTCCTCCTCCTCCTCCTCCTCCTCCTCATCCTCATCATCCTCCTCCTCCTCCATCATCATCATCATCATCATCATCATCATCATCATCATCATCATCATCATCATATCATCATCATCATCATCATCATCATCATCATCATCATCATCATCATCATCATCATCATCATCATCATCATCATCATCATCATCATCATCATCATCATCATCATCATCATCATCATTCATCATCATCATCATCATCATCATCATCATCATCATCATCATCATCATCATCATCATCATCATCATCATCATCATCATCATCATCATCATCATCATCATCATCATCATCATCATCATCATCATCATTCATCATCATCATCATCATCATCATCATCATCATCATCATCATCATCATCATCATCATCATCATCATCATCATCATCATCATCATCGCGCCTCCTCCTCCTCCTCCTCCTTGATGTATCCTCTCTCGGGAACTTCGCACTTACCATCGCGACCTCCGAAAACGACCATTGAGCGACACTGAGTGGCCACTAGCGCAGGCGACTAGCGGCCACTAGCGGCCAGTTAGCGGCACTTTAGCGGCACTACCAGGAATTGATCTGCCATGTAACAGCCATCTACTGGCCACTAGCTGCTACTTAGTTGCCAGAAGGGGCCATTTAGCGGCACTTGGTTGCCACTAGCGGCCTGCAGTGGCCACTAGCGGTCACTAGCGGCCTGGCGCGTGAGCGAGACTGCCGACCCCGTTGAAGCCGCAAACGCGCGTGCAGCTAAGTGCCGCTAAGTGCGCTATCCGAAACGAACAATTCGAACTCCATTGTACACTTCCCCAGGTTGGCCACAGAACCTCCTCCTCCTCCTCCTCCTCCTCCTCCTCCTCCTCAACTCCTCTTTGTTGACGGTCTCCAGGGCCCCGTGGGGGCATCCAGAGGCCGCCAACGGCGAGACACCGCCCCTCCTGATTCTGGTAACGATGTGAGCACGTCTGGGGAAGGAGTGAAAAGGCCGCGCTCCTGGCTCTTGCGAACCGACGCTGGCCGGCGCGACACCGGCGCCACAATGGCGCGCTCGTCGGTTGTCACACGCTGGCGCGCGCGAGTGCGCCTCTACTCGGGTGTTTCTATAGGGAGGAGGGAGGAGGGAGCAGGCAGGAGGGAGGAGGGAGGAGGGAGGAGGGGGGAGGGAGGAGGGAGGAGGGAGGAGGGAGGAGGAGGAGCCCATGGCCCAAGGAGCCCCAGGATTTCCAAGTAGGCCCCCACGGCCTCCAGAGCCCCGCACCCCTCACGAGATCCAGAGGGCCCCAGGGGCTCCAAAATCGAACGAAACACTGGGGGCACCAGGAGTACGTTCTGACCAGGATTTCGAGGCGAAGTCAGCGGTGGCGACGAGGGCCTCCGGGGAGGCCTAGAAAGAGGAAACGAAGGAGGGGTATCGGTATCGGTGCCTTCTACTCCTGCGACGCATGCGCCTCCAATCGAGACGGAGTCCCGAGGACGCACGATGCTCCCATGACTTGCCACCGCAACGTCCAACGTCAGCCCCCCGTTGGCGCTGGGCCCCAGGACCGTGCAGGGACTCACGTAGTCTGCCGGCCGCCCCCCAACCCGCGCCGGAGCGGCCGCGAGCTGCTCCCGATTCCCCTGGAGATCCCTGGCTTTGCCTGGGTTGGCCTCGGTGGATCTGCGCGCGCCTTCGTTTGCCCGGGCTGCCTCGATGTCCCTGGATTTCATACCTCGACCTGCCTGGCTGTTGCCTAGATGTACCCGGATGTGCCTCGCTCCACCTGGATTCTACCTCGATTTTATCTGCATTCTGCGAGCCGATGGACGCGGAGCCGCCGAGCCCTCGGGGACCAGGGGCCCCCGGGGCCCCCGAAGGCGCCCGCGCGGAGTACGGGCGCGCTCGCACGCTGGCCCTGCGCGCCGGGAGCGCCCCTGGCCGGTGGGAGGGCCCGCGCGGGGCGAGGCCCCCGAGGAGCACCGCGGCCTCTCGGACTTTTCCCCGGGTCGGGCCCTCCTCCCAGAGGCGGGGCCTTCGCGGGGGACGAGGGGGTCAGGAGAAGGAGAAGCTGCACGGGCCAAAACTTCCGGGGCTCCACGCGGAAGAGAAGGAGGAGGAGGAGGAGGAGAAGGAGGAGGAGGAGGAGGAGGAGGAGGAGAACCCCCTGGTCGAGCCCTCCTCCCAGAGGCTGGGCCTTCGCGGGTGAAGGATTACGTCGGGCCTGTCCCCCTGCAGGCCGATTCCCAGGGAAAAATCAACAATAGTAGAACAAATATTCAGACATGGCCAGAAAATATTCAAACAATAGTCCCCAGACTATTTTTTGACTGTGTTTGAATATTCCTCCTGTAGAGGGACATGCCCGACTCAAAGGTCAGGAGAAGAAAAACTGCACGGGCCAAAACTTCCGGGGCTCCACGCGGAAGAGGAGGAGGAGAAGGCGGAAGGATGAGCGAGGAGCGAGGAGGAAGAGGCCGACCATGATGATAGAGGATAGAGGCCGACCACGCAGGTAGAATAATCAGATCTGCTCGAACACAAGACTTTCGGAGTTCCGCGCGGGTGTCTTGGCCCTGCGCTGACCCCCGCTGGCTTTCCGCTGGCCTCCTGGCTTTCAGCGCCCTCTTGATGGGTGCTTCACTAACGGGCACCTTGGCCAACGACCTGGCGAACCCAGCCCTTCCCGATGCGGGCAACGCTGCAATGCACGAAAGAGGCCCTTATAGAGGAACAAAAAACAACATACAAATAATTGCTCTGAATCCCAGCGCGCGGAGCGCGCCAGGGGCGGCGCCAGACGCGCCGCCAGTGGTGGTGAGCTCCGATCTCAGAGAGCCGCTCTGAGCCATGAAAATTCACGTGCATGCCGAATCTTCTCCTTCGAGGAGGAGGACGGGGAGGAACGGGGGGAGGTTGGGACAGCTAGGTTTATGTCGGGCGTGTCCCCCATACAGGCGGATTTTCGACGAAAAATCAAGAATACCCCAAAAATACTCCAACAAGGTCAAACATACTCAAAAAAGAATCCCCAGACTACGTCTGGACTATTTTTTTGACTATCTTTGGGGTATTTTCTTATCTTTCGTCGGAAATCCCCCTGTAGGGGGGCAGGCCCGACTTAAAGCTGGGTGCCCGAAGAGAGGTGCGCCGCAGGAGGACGGGGAAAGAACGCAACCAGCAGGAGATCACGCAGAGCACAGATTAGGGGAACAAAAAGTGACATAAACATAAAAACTCGGAGGTCCGCGCGGATTTCTCGGATCGGCGCTGGGGCCCCCCAGCGGCGCCTCCGGCGCCGCCCCTGGCGCGCTCCGCGCGCCAGGGAGGGGGTTCCAGCGCGGATCCGAGAAATCCGCGCGGACCTCCGAGCTTTTATGTTTATGTCAGTTTTCGGTTCCCCAATCACGCAGAGCACAGATGACACATTACGAACAGTGGTACACACACTGATCATCGCACGTCGCCGCTTCAGATCGCCGGATGCGGAGTGTTGTGTTGGAGAATGTTGCTGACTATCCAAATCACGAATCGAGCCGTCCGTGTTTCACAACCGTCGCTTCCATCCTTGTGGATGCCGATCCATCTAAATACCTTCGGGTCGACCCTTGCACAGAAGGACCACGTCCAAGGGCAAAAGCTTCGAATGAACCTGTTAACCGGTGACGTCTGTCTGACACTGCAATGTATACCGCTTCTATCGTCACATTCCCGTCGTCGACTCCACGCTGAGAACTATCAATCAACCCCACCTCATGTCGTCGCGGAGCCTCCCGTATCAATATCTCCACGTGGCCCACGTTCTTGGGCCATTGCAGGAGCTGCTGGTACAACACGTCAAACCTCAGAATGATGATACGGAGGGCATGCGATCGAGCGGACAGTGCCGAACGGTGTGCCCCCTCCCTCGCATGCATTATAACGCTCCCTGGCACGATGCATGCGAGCGAGGCGACAAGCCAAGACAAGACTACTTCGCACAGAGCACGATTGACGTTTCTATCTGTCTGAGCCTCGCAACGAGAAGGAAAGGCCGCCAACCGAAGCCCCTCCCGAATTCAACGTGGCCCTGATTGAAACGTCTTGACTGTACGACATGTTCCCACTGTACCTTGACGACGTGGGCCCTGGCATCTGCCACGCTGCGAACACCGCTCAGCCTTGATCGATCTCCAGTGCCGGAGGCCCCATGGCAACCCTCGGCCCAGTCGCTCGAAGGGACTCCGTGACGGGTGCCTGCTTGTCCCCCAGCGCATCCGAACGAGGACCTGGACAGCATCCGCCCAGGACGCATCGGGGCTCTCTTGGACCGTCTGGAGGCCCTCTGAGGCTCTCTTGGGGCCGTCTTGGGTCCCTGTGGGGCTGCTTTGGGGCACTCCTGGGCCGTCTTGGAGCCCTTAGGCCGCGTCACTCGAAACAATGCGAAGAAACGGGCCACGGGAGCCGCCAGGGAGCTGCGTCACTCGAAAAAACACCAGGAAAACTAGCCATCAAATCCACGGTGCGCATCCAAACCAGCGCATCCCAAACTAGCCAAAACCAACACACCGGACACCATCTGACCAGGACAGATCGGGGCTCTCCGCGACCCGGCGCACCCAAACCAGGACCTGGACACCATCAGACCAGGACAGATCGGTGCCTGTTTTTCCCCCCCCAAACGCATCCAAACCAGGACCCGGACAGCAGCCGACCAGGACACCTCGGGGCTCGCTCTGCGAGACCCGGCGGCCCTGGAGACGGCAGCGGCCGCCGCGGTCGCCGCAGAGCGCCCCGGAACGCCTCGAGCACGCTGCAGCAGGCCCTGGGTCGATCCATCCTGGTCCGGAGCCGTCGCTCCGGCGCCCATTCCCTGTGCTTTTGTTCGGCTTCGTGCCTCCTCCTCCTCCTCCTCCTCCTCCTCCTCCTCCTCCTCCTCCCCCTCCCCGCCGAGGTGACGGGACTGTCCTCGCCGAAGGTAGGAACTGCACACGTCCGAGCGATGCCAAGGGGCCCCGCGCCCGCCCAAAAAGTCGGGTCGCCGGGGGCCCCGCGAGGGGCCCCCGGGCGGTGCTCGCCTCTGGCCGCCCCCGCCCTCGTCGCAGCCGCGCCGCAGCGGCGCGAGCCCACCCGGCGCCGCCCTCGCTCCGAGCTCAGCCCCAGACCCTCCCAAATCGGGACGCCCGAAGTGGGTGCAGAACAAATGGGTACACTGCCCTAGCAACAAATGCAGTCCAGAACCGACAGCGGACACGGGTGGGCAGGCGGCTGGTTGCCTTCAGGGGACAACGTCCGCGGCGGCGTGGGCAGCGAGTCATGTTCAAAAGGAGCAAGAATTGCTGTCAGGCATCGTGTCCATTCTGTCCGTACCAATTGCCATCGTCCCGGCCAAACGCCATCTCGACCAGCTCCTCGACCCGCGTCTGGCCGTGGCCACGAGGCCCCTTCCCTCCCTCGGAGGAGCGCAGAGAGAGTGGCCGCAGACCTGTGAGAAAATGCTGGGGGCCCAAGACTGTCCGTCAACTCCTGGACTGAGTGCTTTCGGGGTAAAAAAATTCTTCCGGGGTAAAAACAGAATTCTTCTATTGAGCAGAACTGATGTGTCCAACCAACCCGCTCAACAATCGCATGAACCGTCGTGTTTGGCGATTTCTTCAAAACTCGCGCGTCACTACTATTCGTTCCGAGACCCCGATGACCTCGCACACTGCCGACGTGCCCGCCAATTCGATTAATTGCTGCACACGTGCTATGTTATGTCGTTCCGTGCTGCGCCTGATACAAGCACGGATGAGGAGAAGGAGGAGGAGGAGGAGGAGGATGATGAGGGGGAGGAGGAGGAGGAGGAGGAGGAGGAGGAGGAGAAGGAGGAGGAGGAGGAGGGGGAGGAAGAGGAGGAGGTGGCACATCTGCCACGCCCAAGGGTCCGTGAGGGCCCCCGTCCGCGCTGCTGCACCCGCCTCGCCGGGCCTCAATTATAGGCCCCGCGCCGCTCGATCGTCAGCTTGTTCAGGATCGCCTTCATGGCGCGCAGCACCTGGCGGGCGGGGCTCCGACGGGGTGCGAAGAGCAGGTCGGGCATGCCCATCAACAGGCGGACTTCGGACGGGAACTGAAACATACCCTCAACATACTCCTACATATGGTCAACACATGCTCACAGCATCGTCCCCGGGCTGTTTTGTTGTTCTCCTATTTCTGAATCTTCCTCCTGTAGAGGGACAGGCGCGACTTCAGGCAGAGAGGGGAGGAGACGGGAGGGCAGAGGGAGAGGGGCGCTTGTGTTTGCTGCTGGGGGGGTGAGACGAAGCCAGGACGAGGACAGACTCCAAACTCGGGCGACGACCGATCGAGAATCTCTGAGATCCCGCGGCTCTGGAGGACGCCTCGGGCGCCGCGGCCGTCTCAGAGCGTGCTGGAGCGCTCTGAGAGCGTTCCGTAACGCCCTGGAACGGACTTGCCCTCGTCCTAGCCCCGTCCGAGGGGGAGCAGCCGCCGGGGGATGCGGCGAGGTGGTGGGCGGGGCCGCCTCGAAGCAGGCGGGGCGCGGAGAGGAAGAACACGGCCGACCACGACCGAGGCCGAGCGCGAACCCGCCGCGCCGAGCTCGGTCACCGCCCGACCTGGTCGGCGTCACTGCGTGGATCATTTCCTCGCGAGTCGGCGACGGCCGGCACGGACCAGAAGCACGATCGGCGTCGACGAGGTCCCGCGGCGCGCCATGCCCCGCGACACCTCGGTCGTGGCCAGCGTGGTTCTTCCCTCGGGGGGGAGGAGGGGGAGGAGGAGGGGGAGGAGGAGGAGGAGGAGGAGGAGGAGGAGGAGGAGGAGGAGGAGGAGGAGGAGGAGGAGGAGGGAGGGGAGGCGGTCTGGCCCCCCTCCTCCGGGAGGAGGGAGGAGGCACGCAGGGCGCGGTGGGCCCCGCTCAGCACGGGGTGGGCGCTCGAGGCTCGGCGTCGCCCTCTGCCACCGGCGGAGGGAGGGGGGAGCAACTCATTGTCGTCCCCGTCCCTTTCTTCCCTGCCACGTCCCCGCTCCTGCCTCCCTCCTCCCTCCTCGTCCTCCTCTGCCTCGTCGTCCTCCCTCCCTCCCCCTCCTCCTCGTCTTCCTCCGTAGCCCGCGACAACTGGAAGGAGGGCGGGGGATGGGACGCGACGGAATGGGAGACTGAGCAACGCTGAACGAGAAGACAGCATGGGGGTAACGGGTCCTGAGGGAAACTGAAGGGGCCCTGGGACACACAAATAGATAGACACAAGTAAAAGTATTCCCCATATTTCCCCCATGTTCTTTTTAATTCTGTGTTCCCCCCACTTCCCATCTTTTCCTATCTTTTCTGGGGAATCGACGATTCATTGTGTCTGTGTGTTTTTTCCCCTCCTGAGAAACGAGTCCTGGAACCTGGGTCTGTGCCCCGCCGGAGGAGCTGCTCGGCCTGAGCCGCTTTCTGACAGTCCTGGAGCCCGTGGCAGGCCCCGAGAGCCCGAACACGGCGAAACACCTTGGGACCCGTTTACAGTCGGGGCGTTGACCTAAGGAACCCTAAAAAAGGAACGAGGCCCCTTTTTCCATAAGTTCAACTTCGATTTACCATCGAAAACATAAGGAAAACCTGAGGCAAGCTGCGAATCAATTAAGGAACATGGAGCCCCTCCCCAACGAAAAGGGTTCCTTCTTCAGCGACCCGACTGTACCTCAGGACACGCCACCCCCCACGGCGACTTTGGTCTTTGGGTCATAGCTCGGGTCTCCGGCGGCCGTTCGGGACGATCCGGGCACCCCCGAAACGGCCTCGGCGAGGCGCAGCTGCCGGCAGGCATCCAGAGGATGCAACGCCGCCGAGAGCCGACGAAAGCGTCCGAAAACCTCGAGCCTCGAACCTCAAGCCCGAAACCCCTATGGCGAGAGGAGGCGGCGAGGATCGGGAGCGAGACCCCCAGGGGTCGCGGGCCACAAAGTACGACGGCCACCGGTGCAAAGTCCCTGGGGCCTCGGGGAGGCGGGCCTCGGGCTCTGGAGCTGTGCGAGGCGGATCTCCTCCTCGTCCTCGTCCTCTCCTGAGCACGTGTTTGAGTTTCGATTGTGAGCAGCTTGTAAAATCGGGGATGGACAGACCTCCCTTTAGTAAAACGTGGTTTAGTGAAAACGACGTGAGGCCCAAACCTGGCGGGCGCCAGCCTGGAAAATAACGGCCACGGCGCCCTCTCGAGAACCGAAAACGGACAATTCAGTAATCGACGTGTCACTGTTTGGGGCTCGTCCACCCCCGATAAAAGGTTTGTTCGAGCTACGACTTCTACACGTCAGACTGTCTGGGCTGCTATGTGTGAGCTTCTTTCTGCAGCGCGTTGACAAGGAAGGTTCTTCGAGCGTGAAACATCATAGGATTTAAGTGCGCGCTTAGTGTCGCCCAACACAATGATACTTGTGACAGGCAGTGGGAGCGCCTCCTCCTGCTCCTGCTCCTCATCCTTCAACTCCTCTTCTTCATCCTCCTTCTGGAACTCCACCTCCTCCTTCTCCTCCTCCCCTTCCTCCTGCTCCTCCTCTTGCTCCTCCTCCTCCTGCTCCTCCTCCTGCTCGTCCTCCTCCTCCTCCTCCTCCTCCTGATCCTCCTCCTCCTCTCTCCATCCTCCTCCTCCTCTCCTCCTCCTCCTCCTCCTCATCCCTCATCCTCATCCTATCCTCCTCCTCCTCCTCCTCCTCCTCCTCCTCCTCCTCCTCCTCCTCCTCCCCCTCCCCTCCCAAGGCTCAGGAACAAAAACAAACAAAAAAACGATGCGTGGGAAGAGGAGGAGGAACAGGAGGAAAACAAGTTCAGCATCATCACGATGCGCGGGGCGAGGAGGGACGAGAACGGGCACGTCGACATCCTGCGCCGTCCGCTGGACATTTCGCGGGAGGGCCCCCGCCCATCGCGACGACGGGATTCCCCTTCGAAGTGGTCCCCGCCAAACGGTCCGAGCGCGCGCCGGGAGGTCCGGAAGGTCGTTCCTTGAGGCGGGGGAGAAGAAGGGGAACCCTCCTCCTGAACCTGAACCTCCGCCTCCTCCTCCTCCTCCTCCTCCTCCTCCTCCTCCTCCTCCTCCTCCTCCTCAGGGCGAGAGGTTTTGGGCTGTTTTCGGCCACGGAGAGCCCTCGCAAGGCCCCGGAACCGTCAAAAAACGACTCGGGACGAAAAGCGGGTCCCGGGCACAGGGTCGGAACTTGCACGGACGCCGTCCTGAAAAGAACAGGACGTCGCATGTCTGGGAGCGGCACGACAGAATGCGATACATGGCACGGCGTGAGATCGATACGTATATCTCAAGAAAAGAACTGCAGCAGAGCATGGGCATCAGAGGGAGCGACAGTCGGACAGTCTTCGGCTTGCTGTGGGTTCGGGGAGGGCCTGGTCAACACAGAAGAGGCAGGGCAGGGAGGGAGCTGGCTATGCGCAGCCATGCTTGAAGTTCTCACACAAGTTAGGAGCAACGGCAAAGCATAGACGACAGAGGGGAGTAGCGAAATAAGACCATGCACCAGAGGATGAGCAACACGATCAGAGAAGGGAGGGATACAAGTGGGAGGCGATAGTGGGGATCGGGATGTTGTTGCATCCACGATGCCGCAATCCAAGATTCACCCCAGGAGGTGGGTGAGGCCACCTGGGGGAAGGAAGGTCAACATTCATATCAGTGAAGGCACCGAACTGAAAGGCGGCTATGATGGTGATCAGGAGAAAGAAGGGGATGACGAGCACGAGGAGGATGATACGTCGTAGCATCTTCCTTCTACTCGCCTCCTCGCCTCCCCGCCCTCCTCCGCCTCCTCCTCCTCCTTCCATCGTCCGTCTGGTCCTCCCACTCGCCAGCCACTTGGGCGGGCGGACAGTCTCGGAGGGGGGCTCATCACGTGAGTGGTCAGGTGGCGGTGCGGCTGTGCACAGGCGGCACACCGCCATCCCGCGGGAGGGCCCCTCTCCCCCGCCCAAAAAACCAAGGTCGCTGGCGGCGGCTAGCAGAGGATGAGGAGGAAGAGCAGAGGAAGAACACCCTCCCCATCCCAACCGCCTCCTCCTTCTCCTCCTGCTCCTTCTCCTCCTCCTCTTCCTCCTCCTGCTCCTCCTGCTCCTCCTCCTCCTCCTCTCCTCCTCCTCCTCCTCCTCTCTCCTCCTCCTCCCTCCTCCCTCCTCCTCCTCCCCCTCCCCCTCCCCCTCACCTCCTCCTCCTCCTCTCCTCCTCCTCCTTCCTCCCCTCCTCCTCCTCCTCCTCCTCCTCCTCCTCCTCCTCCTCCCCCTCCTCCTCCACAGCCACAGTGGAACGACGACCACGACAACGGCGACGACCGCAGTGCCACTATGCTTCTGCTCGCTCGGGGCGCGAAGCGCCCTGGATCTCTCGGCCCCTCCCTACAAGACTGCCTCTTGCCGCCGCCAACCGCTCCTTCTCTCCAGTGGCCCCGCGGACGAGGAGGAGGAGGAGGAGCAGGAGGAGGGGGAGGAGCAGCAGCAGCAGCAGCAGGAGGAGGAGGAGGAGGAGGAGGAGGAGGAGGAGGGGGAGGAAGGAGGAGGCGGAGGAGGAGAGGGAGGAGGAGGGAGGAGGAGGAGGAGGAGGAGGAGGAGGAGAGGAGGAGGAGGAGGAGGAGGAGGATGGGGGAGAAGGAGGAGGAGGCAGGAGGAGGAGGAGGAGGAGGAGGGGAGGAGGAGGAGGAGGAGGACGGAGGAGGAGGAGGAGGAGGGAGGAGGAGGAGGAGGAGGAGGAGGCGGAGGGGGGGGGGAGGAGGAGAGAGGAAGGAGGAGGAGGAGGAGGGAGGAGGAGGAGGAGGAGGAGGAGGGGAGGAGGGGAGGAGGAGGAGGAGGAGGAGGGAGGAGGAGAGGAGGAGGGAGAGGAGGAGGAGGAGGAAGGAGGAGGAGGAGGAGGAGGAGGGGGAGAGGAGGAGGAGGAGGAGGAAGGAGGAGGAGGAGGAGGAGGAGGAGGAGGAGGAGGCGGGGAGGAGGGAGGAGGAGGGGGAGGGGGAGGGGAGGGGAGGAGGAGAGGAGGAGGAGGAGGAGGAGGAGGAAGGAGGAGGAGGGAGGAGAGGAGGAGGAGGAGGCGGAGAGGAGGAGGAGGAGGAGGAGGAGGAGGAGGAGAAGGAGGAGAGGAGGGGGAGGGGGAGGGAGGAGGAGGAGGGGAGGAGGGGGAGGAGGACGAGGTGGAGGAGGGGCGGGAGGCGCAAGCTCCGTCAGAGCCACCCACCAATCGAGGAATATCCCACCCGAAGTAGTGATGCGAAAGATGCAGCGACAAAACATTAGGGAAACACTGCCCTCGACGGGAGACCCGCGGCGCGGCCCCGACGGTGGTGTCGGCGCCTCCCGACTGCGGCGACGGCAACGACTGCGGCGGCGACGACACCGACGGCACCTCGCCCGCCTGCTGGGGGCGGTGTGGCGGAAGGCTGAGGAGGAGGAGGAGGAGGAGGAGGAGGAGGAGGAGGAGGAGGAGGAGGAGGAGGAGGAGGAGGGGAGGAGGGAGGAAGGAGGAGAGGAGAGAGGAGGACGAGGACGAGGAGGAGGAGGAGGAGGAGGAGGAGGAGGAGGAGGAGGAGGGAGGATGAGGAGGAGGAGGAGGAGGAGGAGGAGGAGGGAGGAGGAGGAGGAGGAGGAGGAGTAGAGGAGGAGGAGGAGGAGGAGGGAGGAGGAGGGGGAGGAGGCGGAGGCGGAGTAGGAGGGGTCATTGTCTGGTCCGCGCGCCTCTCTCCTCCTCCCTGAAAGGGCACCTGGCCTGGGGCGTGAGCGTGCCGTGGGTTGGGGCGGCACGAGCGCGGATTGGCCTCTCGATTCGGCCGGCCATCGGGGGGGCGTGGAGGTGGGGCAGGGGCAAGGAGGTGCGGCTGGGAGGAGCATCGCTCTGAGCTGCCCCTCGCAGGGGGCAGCGTGAGCATCCAGCTGGGCTCGCTCCCCGGCCCCACCTTTGGACCCCCCCCCCCTCTGCGAACCCCGAGGCCAGTCCCCAGACCCCCCCCACGTATGATTTGTTCATTACGTCGACCCCCAGAGATCCCGACCCTTTCCCCATGACCGGCTTTGCTTCTGGAATCGTGTTCTGACGCTCCCGAGGCCCGGTGAGGGCCCCCGGAGACCGAAAATGAAGAAGAACCGTTCGTCATGATTTGTTCACTGCTCGAGGGGGTCTGGGTCCAGCGGGCCCAAAGAAAAGAGACGACGCCGACGGCGGCGGCGCCGACGGAGGCCACGCCGAAGGCGACGGCCACGGCGGCGGCGGCTGCGCGCGGGCCGCCGTGCGGCGCAGGCGCCTCCGCCTCGGCGGGGTCCTCGGCGCCGCCGTCGGCGGTGGCGTCGTCGCTGGACAGCCGCTGCTTCCTCGCCTCGGGGTGGGTGGGTGGGCCGGCCTGTTTTCCACCACCACCACCACCACCACCACACATTAAATTTGAGGGAGATGAGGAGGAGGAGGAGGAGGAGGAGGAGGAGGAGGAGGAGGAGGAGGAGGAGGAGGAGGAGGAGGAGGAGGAGGAGGAGGAGGAGGAGGAGGGGAGGAGGAGGAGGATGGAGGATGAGGAGGAGGGACCCCCTCCTCCTACCCAACTTATGGTGGTGGTGGTGGTGGGGGTGGAAACCAGGCCCATAAGGGGGGGCGGCCGCGGGCGGCGGCGCTGGCGCTGACGGCCGACGGCGGCGGCTGTTATACACAGAGAGCGACAGAATCCACCCTCACACGACGCACCCCCGACAGGCGAAGCCATCTCGTAAACGCACCCGCGGAAGGAATCGAGCAGGGAAGGGCCGTCTGGGAAACGCCCAGGGCCGTTTCGAAAACGCCGAGGAGGAGGAGGAGGAGGAGGAGGAGGAGGAGGAGGAGGAGCAGGAGGGAGGAAGGAGGAGGAGAAGAAGGGGGCGGGGAGAGGAGGGGAGGGGGGAGGAGGAGGAGGAGGAGGAGGGGGGAGAGAGAGGAGGAGGAGGAGGAGGAGGATGGAAGGGAGGAGGAGGAGGAGGAGGAGGAGGAGGAGGAGGAGGAGGAGGAGGAGGAGGAGGGAGGAGGAGGAGGCGGAGGAAGAGAGGAGGAGGAGGAGGAGGGAGAGGGGGGGAGGAGGAGGTAGGAGGAGGAGGAGAGAGGAGGAGGAGGAGGAGGAGGAGGAGGAGGAGGAGGGCGGAGGAGGAGGAGGAGGAGGGGAGGAGGAGGAGAGGAGGAGGAGGCGGAGGAGGAGGAGGAGGAGGAGGAGGAGGAGGAGGGGAGGAGGAGGAGGAGGAGAGGAGACGGAGGAGGAGGAGGAGGAGAGAGGGGAGGAGGGGGAGGAGGAAGGAGGAGGAGGGGTCGGCGTGGTCCTGGTTTCCTCCTGCCTCGAGGCTGTGGGTTGGGGCGGCGCACTGGTGCAGGTGCTCAGCAATGCATGCGGAGTCGGGCTGGGGTTGGGTCGGGCATGTCCCCCGACGGGGAGCATTTGGACGAAAAATTAAAAGTCCCCCCCCCCAAAAAATATTCAAACAGAATCAAAAGATGCTCAAACAATGGTTCCCTGACTATTTGATGACTAGTTTTGGACATCCCTCCTGTCGAGGGACAGGCCCGACTGAAGGCTGGGGCAAACGGGTGGAACATCATTGTTGCCATCTTCCGTAGGCCGCTCGGGATGCATCCCAGAAGCTCCTGACCCACGAGATACCTTCCAAGACCGTCGAAAACGTTCGCTCCTTCTGGGAGGTCGGCGGAATAACGCAAACCACCTGGATATCGTTGTTGTCCTCTTCCGTGGGACGCTTGGGCCCAGAAGACTGTGTGCTAGGTGCGAGGGTCCACAACCGCCCAGATCTGGCTACCAAGACCAGCAACTGACAACGGAACAACTCTCGCACGTAGTTGCAAAACCTATCCGATGCCTCGGCGTCCTCTCTCTCGGAGATCGTTCTTACTCTCTGGCGAGAACCTGGGTTATCCGATGGGGGGGTGGCGGGGGGGATGTGCCGGCCTTCTCGCCCTGGGCAAACCCGCGTAGGCCCGCGCGCACCAATACTGCGTATCCCACTCGGCCCTGCCCAACCGACAAGGTCAGGCTACTCAGGGGGGGGCGGGCCCCAGAAACTTCCTCTCGTTCGCGCGAAGGGGATCGACTGCAGAATTGATGTACCCCAAACTTGATTTGCTCGTCGAATCTACGAAACATGCGTGGAATGGTCTACGAGCAGTCCACGTCTTCTTTCCTAGATTCGACGAGCAGATCAAGTTTGGGGGCAAACCAACGCTGTCGTCGATCCCCCACTCGATTCTTTGTTCGCGGTGGCGACATGGCGGCGGCGGCGGCGACCGACGATCTCGGCCAGGGCGACGAGGCGAGCCGGGCGCGGTGCGACGCGCCCGTCGTCGAGGCGCCGTCGCCGCCAAGGGCGGGGGGGGGGGAGCACGCGCCCAAGCAGGCCGGAGACCCTGGGGGGCAAGCGCTCGGGGAGGAAGGGAGGAGGGAGGAGGGAGGGGGGAGGAGGGGAGGCGGAAGAAGGAGAGGAGGGAGGGGAAAGGAAGGGAGGAGGGAGGAGAGAGGGGGGGAGCAGGGGAGGCGGGACAAGGGAGGGGAAGCTTGATTGCCCCCCTCCCCCAACCTGGAATACGACCGCCACCGCACCGTCACCCTGGGGCCTGGTCCAGCCCGGCTCCTCCTCCTCCTCCTCCTCCTCCTCCTCCTCCTCCTCCTCCTCCTCCTCCTCCTCCTACTCCCCCTCCTCCTACTACTCCCCCTCCTACTCCTCCCGCGCCTCCCCGTCCTCCTCCTTCATCCTCCTCCGCCCTCGTCCTCCTCCTCCTCCTCCGCCTCCTCCTCCTCCGCCTCCTCCTCCTCCGCCTCCTCCTCCTCCTCGGCGGCGGCGCCGACGAAGACGAAGACGACGCCGACGCCGGGGGCTGCCTGCTGCTTCGCCGCCCACGACGTCGGGGAGGACTCCAGCGCCGGAGCCGGCGGCGCGCGCCAGGACCCGCCGGCGGCGCTGCCCGCGCTGCCTGCGCGAGCCGCGCGCGCGCGGCGACCGCGGCCGCGGCGAGGAGGGCCACGGCGACAGGGACGGCGAAGCTACAGCTCTGGGCGGCGCGCACGAGGGGGTGGAGGGAGGGGGGAGGGCTTCTCAGGAGGAGTGCTGCTTCTTGGGAGGCGCTGGCCTTACGTCTGTAGATCAGGCCCACGCCTTCTGAGAAGCAAGGGTGTTTCTAAGAAGCCCTCCCCCCTCCCCCCACCCCCCTCTGCGCGTGGCTGAAACTCCCTCCTCCATTCCTTCGTTCCTTTCCTCAAGGACTAACTCCTCCCTGTCGCACTCCGAGGCCAGTCGGGAGGGCGGGCGGGGCGCTTGGCCTGAGACTTCCTTCCCACTCATGAGCCTGAAGCTTGCACTCCCAACAACGGCTTCACAGATGGAGGGCGAGCCGCTTCCAAAATGCGACTCTCGCATCAGCGCCGCGCGAATGCGTCTCAAAACTTTGCCGCAGTTTCCCGAACGTCTTGAAAGTTTCACGGATCGAGGACAGGTCGGTTTCAAAATGTGGCTCTCGTCTCAGCGCCGCGCACATCCATCCTGAGAAAATGTAGGATTTTCACGGATTTGGGGCGGCTCGGTTTCAAGAGGCGGCTATCACCATAGCACCGCGCACACTCTCGTTAAAACCTTTGCGAGAGCTTTACAGATGGTGGGGCGGCTCCTTCTCAACATGTGACTCCCGCCTTCGCGCCGCGTACATTCATCCTGAGAAATTGCAAGAGCTTCACGGGCTCATGGTAACGATCCAGCAATGGAGTTTTGAAGCAATTCAGGTCGCAAGAGTTAGGTTTATTCGCGGTGTTGAAGTCCCAGGAATGGCGTTTTAATGATATGCAACATTGTCAAAACGCAACAGGTCAGGTTGACTCGTGGCGTTGAAATCCTGAGAATGGTGGTTCGGTGCGCGTCAAGATTTTCACACGGTTGCCGCCCCCCCCCCCCCAACAGCGCACTTCCCCTAGTGGAAATGAACCCTTGCAAGGGTCTATGAAGAGGGAGCTTGGAGGGAGGGTGTATTCCAACATCGTTGATAAGTCTTAGGTTTACACTGGCCCTCCTCCTCCTCCTCCTCCTCCTCCAACTCCACATCATCCGCCTCCTGATTCTTCTCCTCCTCCACCTCCTCCTGGTGGGCCGCTCCGAGGCGGGAGTCTATCCATCTGCGCCGCCTGGAGAGCCAACGTCCTGGGACCCGACGGGGCGACGCATACTCGGGGACGCACTGACCAAGGTCGGTGCAAACCCGGGTCAGTCAGGCCTTGCAGGATCCTGCACGACCACGCAAGATCCTGCACGCTGACCCGGGCCAGTGCAACCCTGGCCCTGCAGCGTCCTTCAAGATCCGGCGCCCTGGCCGAACCCCGCCCGTCCCTCGAGCCCTCAGATACGGATAGGTTTCGCCCCCCCCACCCCGCCCCCCCTGGAAGGCCCAAGCACTGTTTACGTCGGCGGCGAAGCAGCAGAGCTGCTCCAGCGGTGAGCGATCGGGGCGACCGAACCGCGCAGTGGCCCGCGTGCAGGAGGGTAAGAAGAAAAAACGCCATAAATATAAGCTTTTGGCACTCCGCGCGGATCTCTTGGATCTGCCCAGACACCCCTCCCTGGCGCGCGGAGCGCGCCAAGGACGGGGGGCCCAGCGAGAATCCGAGCAATCCGCGCGGAGCGCCAAAAAGCTTATGTTTATAACGTTGTTGTTCCTCTTCCCCAGACCCCCGACGTCATGATTTCTTTTAGAACGTCGACCCCCAGAGTTCTTGACCCATCCCCAGGACCGGCTTTTCATCCTGCGTCGTTTTTTGACGCTCCCAAGGCCCAGTGAGGGCCCCTGGAAGCCGAAAATGGGGAAGAAAAACGCCCGTCATGATTTTTTCATTACTCGAGGGGGTCGGGGTCGAATTTAGACGCCCGAAATGGGTACGGAAAGAATGGGCACAATGCCCAACAACAAATGTTGTCCCAAACCAACAGCGGGCGCTGGTGGGCAAGCGGCCTTCTGTCTCAAATGGACACAGGCCGCGGCGGCGCGGACAGCGAGTCCTGTTCAGAATGAACAGGAACTGCTGTTGTCGGCTACACGCAAGAGTGACCCTGGGTAAGAAAGGCATTTGGTGCGCGGCTTCTATGCGCAAAACGTCGTGCCTCCTAGGGCTTCGCCTGGAAAGAGCTGCGACCGGGATCCGGACGCGGATCCAGCCAGGGCGACGCGGGCCCCTCAGGTGGCCAAGAGAGGTCAGAAACATGCCAACACCCCACCTCTCATCCTCCTACGCTTTTACGCCGACAGACTTTGACAACCCAATCGTAGCGTCAGTCCTCCTCCTCCTCCTCCTGCTCCTCCGGCTCCTCCCCCTCCTCCTCCTCCTCCTCCTCATCCGCCTCCTCCGCCTCCTCCGCTCCTCTTCCGCCTCCTCCTCCTCCTCCTGCTCCCCTGTCCTCCCCCTCCTCCCTCCACCTCCTCCTCCTCCTCCTGTTCTCCTCCCCCGTTCCTCCTCCTGTTCCTCCCCCTCCGCCTCCTCCGCCTCCTCCTCCTCCTCCTCTTCCTCCTCCGCCTCCTCTCTCGCCCTCACTCGGCCTCGCGCGGGATAAGGAGGGGGAGGAGGAGGAGGAGGAGGCGGAGGAGGCGGAGGAGGAGTAGGAGGAGGAGGGGAGGAGGAGGATGAGAAGGGGAGGAGGAGGAGGAGGAGGAGGAGGAGGAGGAGGAGGAATGAAATGGGATGAAAGGAGAGGATGTGAGGAGGCGAGGCCGGGAGCTGGATGGAGTGAAACAACTGAAGGGGACATGAGGAAGACAAGGCGGGAGCGGCAGGAAGTGAAGGCGGAGAAGGGCGCAAGAGGAATGAATGAGAGGAGGGTGGAGAAGGAGGGAGGTGCACGATTGTTGTGAGGAGGAAAGAGTAAGAGGAGGAGGAGGTGGAGGAGGAGGTGGAGGAGGAGGTGGAGGAGGAGGAGAAGGAGAAGAGAAGAGAACGGGGGATTGTGGAGCCCCTCGGGGTTCCGGGGCGCGCGCGCGAGGCTTTCACACTGAGTTCGCGCGTGCGTCTTTCACTGGTGTGTGCGTACTCTGTGGCGTCCTCCTCTCCTTCCGCATTCCCCTCCTCCTCCTCCTCCTCCTCCTCCTCCTCTTTTTTCTCTCCACCCTCCCCCCCCCCTCAGGAAAAAAAGAGAACAAACACATCATGTTGGAAAGTTTAGCGTGTCTTTTTTGTTTGGGGGGGATCGGCGGCGAAACAAGAATGCGACGTGGCCTAATCTCCCCCCCCCCCCCTAGAAGGACTCCTAATTCAGGCCCCCAAAAGAAGGATTCATAGTGAAATCCTCGACAGAAAGTTTCCAATCGAAACCCTCCACTCAATGATTCCTACTGAAATCCTCCACATGTGGATTCCTATAGAAATCGCCCGCAGAAGGATTGATATTGTTCATATTGACACCCCCCGCAAAAAAAATCCATGCGAAACCCTCCACACAAGGATTCCTAGTGAAATCTACCACAAAGGATTTCCCCCATTGGCAATGCATTGGCATTGGGTTGGGATCGCTTTGGCAATGGTGTGGCACTGCGTTGGCATTGCGCTGGCATTGCGCTGGCGAGTTCCAACACCCCCCTTCGCAGAATGATTCCTGTTGAACCCCCTACAAGAAGGATTACATGTGAAACATTCCACAATAAGAAACGTTCACATTGAACTCCCCCACGGAAGGATTCCATTCGAAGCCCTCCATAGAAGGATTCTTCTTGAACCCGACCACAAACGATTTCCCCCACTGGCATTGCATTGGCATTGGGTTGGGATCGCTTTGGCATTGGTTTGGCATTGCGTTGGTATTGCGTTGGCATTGCGCTGGCGAGTCCGAATGGCCCCCCCCGCAGAAGGATTCCTATGAAAACCTTGCACAAGAAGGGATCCGTTTGAACGCCCCTACATGAAAGATTCAAAGTGGAACCCCCACAGAAAGATTCCGATCGAAACCCTCCACGGGAGGATTCCTATCGAAATCCTCCGAAGTATGATTCGTAACCAAAGCATACACATAAGGATTCCTAGTGAAATCTGTTGGGAGACAGGAGTCCCGCCATCGGCAGAGACATACTCCCCCGTTGGCATTGCATTGGCATTGGTTTGGCAATGGTTTGGCATCGCATTGGCAGTGCGTTGGCATTGCGTTTGGCAGTGGGTTGCTAGTGCGATTGCGCTTCGCCAGCATTGCGCTGGCGAGTCTTCATGGAACCTCCACAGAAGGACCCCGATCGAAACCTTCTATATTGAAACCCTACACAAAAACTGCTCATGTCGACACCATCTGCAGAAGGATTACCATGCGAAACCCTCCACACAATGATTCCTATTGAAATCTACCACAGAAGGGTTCCCCCCATTGGCAGTGCATTGGCATTGGGTTGGGATCGCTTTGGCAATGGTGTGGCACTGCGTTGGCACTGCGTCGGCATTGCGCTGGCGAGTTCCAACGCCCCCCTTCGCATAATGATTCCTGTTGAACCCCCTACAAGAAGGATTCCATGCGAAACATTCCACAATAAGAAACGTTCACATTGACCCCCCCCCGGAAGGATTCCATTCGAAACCCTCCATAGAAGGATTCTTCTTGAACCCGGCCACAAACGATTTCCCCCACTGGCATTGCATTGGCATTGGAATGGGATCGCTTTGGCATTGGTTTGGCATTGCGTTTGTATTGCGTTGGCATTGCGCTGGCGAGTTCTACTGGCTCCCCCCACAGGAGGGTTCCTATGAAAACCTTGTACAAGAAGGGACCATCTGAAAGCCCCTAAATGAAGGATTCAAACTCCCCCCCCCCGCGCAGACAGATTCCAATCGAAACCATCCGCGGGGGGATTCCTGTCGAAATCCTCCGAGGAAGGATTCGTAACCAAATCATCTACATAAGGATTTCTAGTAAAATCTGCTGCAAGAGAGGGATCCCGCCACCAGAATTGCATTGGCACTGGTT